GAATCACTCAACGAGCCAATTCTTCTGCTCCTCAACTAGTGAGATCTCAAAATCTGTCTTTTATTTTTTATGATTACGACACAAAGACCAGAGTTTTGATAGTTTGAGGAATTTGATTTGAGCAGACCCAGTGGCTATAATTGAAGGAGGCCTTTGTAAAAATTGTAGAATTTATTAGGTGGGTTAACTTCAGTACAAAGAAGGGTGTTGTCGATAGTTTGAGGATTTGTGACGGTAGTTTTCTTTCATTCATAGGTGGGTCTTGATTTTGTTGAACAAACAATGTGTTGTTGATATGTTATTACAAAAGGCATGCTGCTGCTTTAAAAACCAAATTGTATACGAACTTTTCTTCTCATATTTAGCACGATGCACAAAGGTTGGTAGAGGGATAACATAGCATGTAAATAAAGAACAGAATAGGGCCATCTGATGATAAATATTTGAAGAGGTCATCAGATCTTTAGAGAAGGTGCTTTCAATTTCAGTTAGAACTTTCAATAAAGAAAAATAATAAACCAAGCGTCATAGTAATTACGATTTTATTTAAATTGCATGTTTATTATGTTTACATATAGATAAGTTATACATATTCAGATGCTTAAAGAGAAAAAGACTTAATCATTCAGTGTTCAGATCTAAAAGAAACATCTTAATATTCAGATATGCATTCAAATTCAGACATCTTAATCTTAATAAAAACAAATGGCCCCTAACTCAGGTTTGAAGCTAGATGAATACATCTATCTTAATCCCCTCAGTAGACTTCTTGAGGCAGCTTTATTACTAATATTCCTTCTCAAAATAGCGCTGAAGCAAATCCTCCAAATTTACATTTCCCATTGAAATGTTTCAAAGACACTATGTGTTAGTGTATAATTAGAAAAAGAATTCCAAAATGCTTCTAGAATCACCAACACAATTAAGTGTATGCATCAATCCAACAGATTACTCCATCTTCATTCCTAGAAGGCAACATCCCGTATACTGAACCTGTTAACACATGTGCCCTTCAAAGCTTCAACCTAATAATTTATTACCTTCCCCAGATTTAATACAGATTCCAAAAGCATGATAAATGATGACAACAAAAACTCATCCGTTACAGAACACTCTCATCAACCAAGTCAACATGTAACTGACCAGCATCAATTATTAACAACTGACAAACACAACCGCTAATCCATCCAAAACTAAAGAAATGCATTCACTTCCAAACTCCCTCTAACAAGCTCAAACCACGTCACAACTTTAAACCATGCTTTTAATTCAATTCTGAACCACCTCTGCAACAAACAATAATTAAGAGATGCTTAACTATAATCAACTACTTACCTAAAGACAAGCCGTAACCGACCATCATTGTCAAGGTTACACAGCTAATCCTTCCAAACCATCAAGATTCAAAACAATCCAATCTAGCAATACAGTCTATCGCTGAACAATCACCTTTTAAATCTCAGCTAATTCTCTCCATTTTTCACTCGGTTAAACATGAATATTCCGAGTTAAGTCCTTACAGGAAACACAAATACTGTACAAAGACTGAATTTCACAAATTCAATATTTCTGCTCTTTGTACCACTAAGTGAAGTCGAATAGGACTAATAAACTCATAGCTATAATCAACATCCAGTGTTCTCCAATTTATCTTATTGATGCAAATAAACCATATTATATGACCAACTTCAACATGAATTATGGATCACCACCGTGATAAAGTTTATTTAATGAGATGCTTATCTAAAATTCAACTGCTCATCTCAAGACAAATAGTAACCGATCACTCATCATCACTGTCAAAATTACAGTATTAACCAATCACTGACCATTAATGTCAAATTTATACACATCCTTCTAAACCCTCACTATTCAGAACCGTCCAAACTTAAATAGAGCAAAACATTAACCTTACAGCCCGGCATTAAACAGCCACTTTCCAGATTCAGCTTATTCTCTCCATTTCAGCGGAACCACAAGGAATCATTGAATGAACAAATGTAGTCTAGGACTAATAAATGCATAATTGTGATTTGGACTTAACATACAAGATTTCCCAATTTACCTTATTGATCCAAATAAATCATACCTTTTAGGTTGAATAAGTGGGGATTTGCCGTCATGTAACAGCCTCTGGTAAAAATGCAAGGTAAGGTTGCATACATTTCCCCGGACCCTGCACACAATGGAGCTTAGTGCACCGGGCTGCCCTTTTAAGTGGGATTACCAGGTGACCTACAGTACTCAAAAGTTGAATGACCAACCTAATGCTCCTGAGTGAGTTATGCAGGCACATTTAAAGGGAATGCATATAAATAAAGGGACACAAAATTAACCAAACTAAAACTTCTTTGGATTAAGAAAAAGGATTGTACAGAAATTCTGAAAATAGAACTCTACATCTACAAGGAGCTACGGAGAAAGGATCTCTAACCCATAGAGAACACCGGCATACTTCTCTGTCAGCGCCTCGTTGTCCTCAAAGTAGACCTCCCTCAGTTTCTGAAACACATGCCAGGTCAGCAAGCTATCAGACCCGGCCTGATGACTCTTCCCCACCATCCGATTCACCGTAAGAGTAGCTGCAACCCGGTCCAATCCACCATAAAGGTTGTGGCAAAACATCATCAAGTGTTTCACATCATAAACCCTGTTCCCAAAAAAGACCGTCAACAATTCATGAAACTCCGTCAATGCACCTGGCAGTTCACGACCTGTTAGGGCCTTAATAAGGTAGCCAAAATCATACGCGCTGTGAAAAGTGATGTACGTCACAGCGTCGTTGCAGACCAATCCGGACGACATCATCAACTCAGCAAAGCGCGTGGTGTTAGCACCACGGTCACGCGTCTTGTCAAAGTCCAGCCCGTGCTGACGGAGCAGCTCTATTGATCCTGGCGCGTGATCGTCACACGCCACGTCAAAATCACAAAAATTGAACTCCCATATGAATCCATAGGCACAGCCGAGGTCTGGCAGGTTACCGGCAGCGTCAGTGAGAGTGAGACCAACCTGGATGAGCTTAAGAGCGTCCACATTGGATTTCAGAGTGTGGTAGTGATCGCTAGGGTTCCGAGAGCGTATATCCTGCCGGAAAATGACGCCAGGGAACTCAGTATCCATAGAAACGAAGGGATAACGGTCGATTAGGCTACGGATCAAGGAGAATTCAGATTCGAGGTTGNGGGGGGGAAGACGTGGAGGCGAAAATAGTGGGGCTACGGCTTTTTCCGATTGGATTATTTATGAGAATATGAGGAAGTGGGTCTATAACATCGGTTTCATGGTTGAATACCTGGTTAGTATTTCCTTTTTAGGCTACATCTTTTTTAAGAATAAATTCCTTTTTTTAGACAGAATTGTCCATGCACGTTATAGTTTTGTTTGTTTCATTTTATGTTTGTGATTATTACCTAAGGAGGAGTCTATAACGTTTATTAGTTAAAAATATTCAAAAAGTTCTTGTGGAAGTTTTTTGCAAAAAAAAAAATATTTATTAAGAGGTTATGAGGGCATTTTTAAAAAAATAAAAAGAATGTTATTTCACTCGTAGTAAAAACAACTATCCAGACACGTTTTACTCAAACAAAATATTCAAAAAAGTATTTCTAAGAACTGTCCAAACAATTCAATCTGAATTTAATGCTAAAAATTTTAAGTATAACCACCATAATTTTCAATATTTTTTCATCTTTTCCTTTCTTGCCAAGTAACGCAATTCAAAATCACTAGAATCCAAGGGTTGTCAAGAAATCTTAAGCAAATTCTAAAAATGTAAACTCAAAAAAACTATAATTAGATATCATGCGATCCAAAATACAACATAAAAATTAAAACTCTTAGAGCATGATTGGAAAGCCAACTAAGAATTAGAGTTGTATATAATTTGATGCAATTGGTTTTGCATGCCTGCTAGCCAAATAATTATCTAGTCAGCATGGAAATAGATGATGTACAATTACACTCTCTAATTTTCAAAAAATAAGTAAATATTGATGGTAAAAATATTGTATAATTACAAACTGATGTAACTTTTCTAAGAACAAGTTTGAAAAGCCACATGGTAATTGAATTTAGGTGTAATTACACACTTTAACATGTTTATTTGACCAAGTAATTACTTGATTAGCGAGAAATCTATATTTATCTATATTTACTTAAAAGAAAAGAAGTCATTCCTAATATTTGCCAAGTGTTGCGTGCATAGAATGACATGTGGCAACTTTAGGACAAATTAGTTATTTTAGGTAAAATTAGTTTCTCTTTTTAAACAAACCTTAGGAAATATCGAAATTTTGTAAACATGAAAACAAAATCCACCAATTTACCATACAACATATCCACATATTAGAAAATAAAATTCATTTTTTTTTACTTTTTTAACTTTATAAATAACAATCAGAAACTCAGTCTTTGAACTGAAAAGTCTTTTAAAAAATTTAGAAAAACAACAAAAAATTCCACAAAGCACCGTATCACAAAGACAAAAAGAAATAATTTCACCCCATATTCTCACAACACATAAAAAAGAGAACCAAATAATAAAATAGCAATATACTGAAAACAAAATGGAATTGATTCTTGAAACTATAATATATATATATATATATATATATATATATATATATATATATATATATATATAAATAAAGAAGTCATTCCTAATATTTGCCAAGTGTTGCGTGCATATAATGACATGGGGCAACTTTAGGACAAATTAGTTATTTTAGGTAAAATTAGTTTCTCTTTTTAAACAAACATTAGAAAATCTCGAAATTTTGTAAACATTAAAACAAAATCCACTAATTTACCATACAACATATTCACATATTAGAAAATAAAATTCATTTTTTTTTTTACTTTTTTAACTTTATAAATAACAATCAGAAACTCAGTCTTTGAACAATTCCACAAAGCACCGTATCACAAAGACAAAAAAATGGAATTGATTCTTGAAACTATAATATATATATATATATATATTATATTTTAAAGAAAGTAGTCTTTAAACAAACGGCAATGAGGAACACCATCTGCCTAAGCGTATTTGCCCTAAAAATACCAATCCCCCAAATTCGCCGCTTCAATCCCACGATCTCTCACCATGATTTCAACTCCTCCCACGAATTCTTCTGCGTTGGATTCCAGTCCTACAAATTTGGCGCTTCAACCACGATTTCATCTCCTAACCCACGATTTCTTCTGCCCTGCATTCTCAGTACAATGATTTCACAATTTTATCAAATCAGTTTTCTACTTTTACAGTATATAGTTCTATTTTTTCTCCCTTGTGTGCATATGAAACAACAACTTTGGACTACAAAAGGTGATTGATATGATTTCTATTTCATGAACAATCTTTATTCCAGTTGAGATTGTATTGAAAATTTCTGTGAAGTTTGTTGGCGGCTTTTGTTATATAAAATAACACGGTATCTATAGAAACTGTTGTTTACCAATCTTGGGGTTAGGAGAGATTCTTGCTCATGTGCCATCGTTGCCTTTCGCATGCATGTTTTGGAGAATCATCAGCAACAAGTCAATTATTTTCAGATGATATATTGCCTTATATGTGTTTCTATAAGCATTTATTTGGAGTTTCTTCTTATATTTATAAATACCTATGTCTATTTCAGGATTTAATGGCGGCTAAAATCAATTTCGTTAGCGAAATTAACAGCAAGTCAATGAATTGAAAATTAAAGGTTCGTATTGTCCGAATCGCGACAGAGATGGCCCTTTTTCAATTGAGATTATTGTAATGGATGAAAAGGTATTGTTTAAAACCTTATAATTACTTGCACTTTATCATTGTTTACTTGTGCGTATGTAAATTACAGTCATTTACGGAATAAGTAAGTCATTTTAACTATTTGAGTTTTTTTGTAGGGCAACCGCATTCACGCAAGTATTGGCAGGTCTTTTATCCAAAGGTTCAAACAAGAAATTAAGGAAATGGGTTTGTACATCATGAAGAATTTCGTGGTTTGTCCAAATAATATGAAGCTGAAGACCAAAGACCACAAGTTTAAGTTGATGTTCACGCATAAGACCACTGTTGATGAAATACATGATCCACATTTCAACATGTCTATTTTCAAATTTAGAACCTATGAGCAGCTTTCAAATCCCCAAGAATTTGACAATACTGAGTTATTCGGTAATTAAATTTATCTCATTTTTTTCCAGTTTCATTTTAATTTGCGTTATTTGTTTTCTACATTATGAGTGCTAACTGTGAACTAAATCAATACTAATTACAGTACATAAGATTAAAGATTAATTTTTAGATTAAAACTGAATTTATTGACATTGTTAATTCCTCTATCGAAATTCATAATCTGATTTCTAGAAGGCCTTTGTATGCGTATTGAACTAAAGAAAGTTTAGTACTGTACCATTTCTCTAAAGATCTCCAGTACATGGGTATAGTCTTGGTACTACTTTACATAGTATTTACAGATAGTTTTTCGGTGATTTTATGAAGACCTAAGGTTAGCTTTTGATCTCTTACTTCCATAGGTAGCTGATGGAGTTCATGCCCACAGTTTTCTTTGCATTCTCTGAAACCTTCCCTTTTAACAAAACTTAGAAAAATTGATACATGCTGCCTTTGGAATATACATCTAAGTATTTAATTCTTTTACAATCTTCATTTATATTGTCTATAATAATTACTAATTTTGCACATATTTCCTTGGTTAATGTTATTGTAGATGTCATTGGCGAAATTGTGAGCTATGAGGACGTACAGTCTATCAAGCAAGATGATAACATCCGTATGTACATGAACATTGAGATACAAGATTATGCGTAAGCTCGCCACAATTTATTCAACTAAGTAAATATTTCAACATTTCTTTATTTTGATTCCTATGCTTAACCTTATAATAATTGTAGGAGCAACAACCTTTCTGCAACTCTTTGGGGAGACTTTGTGGAACAGATCAAGCCATATTTGAATGGATCTAATGATAAGCATGTTGTCGTCGTAATGCAATTGGTTAGAGTACACCGATATCGAGGTTATTAAATTGTCTACTTACTTTGCAATACAATGTCTTTATACAATTAGTAAACTCTTACAAATTACTTTTAAGCGTGCAGAACAATATTCAGTGAGGAACACTTGGCACACATCGAAGCTTTGGATCAATTCAAATCTTCCTCAAGTTGTTGACTTTAGCTCCAGGTCTCTTTAAGTTGTACTAAATTTAAGGCTATTTCATCCTAAATTTTAGTCTTAATATTTATTAACGTATCTCAAGTTAAAAAAAACTGAATGGTTTCTGTGCGTGGAGAAAGCTCACAAAGAATTACTCAAATTTTATCTCACAAAACTCATTCTGTTGCTAATGAGCTAGCATCTGGAAGTATTGAAGTTAAAAATATTGAGGATTTGGGTGACTGTAAGCACGTGAGTACCTACTTTTTAATTTTGTTAATTTTTAATTAGCACAACTTTTATCTTATCTTTCTCTACATAACAATGTATATACAACTTTTATGCTCAGCCAGGAAATTTCTGGGTTGTAGCAACTATTGTACACATTGAATTAGACCGTGGATGGAGTTATTTAGCATGCAAAAATTGCGCAAAGAAAGTAGACAGAGGGGAATAAATTCTATTGTAAAAAATGCGAGCAGATTCAATCTGCCACTCATAGGTATGACCGTATGACCATAATTTATAGTTTCTTTACTATTATATGATTAAAAATTTAAAAATACAAACTCTTTCCAGGTACAGGCTACAAGTTTGTGATGGATTGCACCGGTACAATTTCTTTGCTGCTATGGGATCGGGATGCAACTAAGATTATCGGAAAGTCGGCAAATGATTTAAAAGATGCTGTATTTGAGGTATAATACAACTGCTTAGAAAAATAAGGGCATCAACATCCAAAAAATTGGTGCATGATCTATTCCCCTGCATCTCCTTTCCTTCTTATTTTATGGGGTACTTGACTTTGTGTCTATATGCAGGTGAGGATTGATAAACTTGAAAGAACTTTAGGTTAACCAATATCGTCAAAGTTCTTTTAACTTTAAGTTACAAAGTATTAAGATATGATTTTCAAAATTTCAAATGAGCTTATTGCTAAATCTGTATGCCTTTGCTCTTATTAGATTTACTTGAGAGGTTTGATAAGTTATAAATGCAGGTAATAGTTCTCTGTTTTTAGCTGTCCCTGAGTTTTGCTAAAGCTAAGATAGTTGTAGTTAATCACTGAAAAACCTAAGATCTGTTTTTAATAGTTCTCAGTTTTTAGCTTATCGCTAAAGTTTCACTTTGTTTTGAAGTTTTTTAAAATCTGAGTTTGTTCTTTCGTAGTTAAACACTTAAAAAGCACCATAGACTCAAGGAAATCTACTTTTGTTTGCAAGTATTGTATGAAAGCTAGAATATGTAGATTAATTCATTCTGGAACTAGAAGATAAACCTCATATGTTACTGGGAAAAAAGATTAAAACCTATTCATCCTTCAGATTATATCAAATCAACATCCTGTATTCTTTCATGTATTGCATGTTCTGAAAATTACAGACTACCAGTGCCTGTTTTTTATTTTTTCAATTATTTTTTCTTGGTCTAACAAAGTGGTATATTGTGGTCCATGTGTGGTGTAGATTTTTGAAAGTGAGGTTATGAACTAAGAGGCATTTTGTATCAGGAAACTTATGCTTTCATTTTAGTTTCCCATCTTCTACTTTAGTCTTTTTATATTAGTAGCTTTATTTAGTGTATTATTCCTCGCATTTATCTTATGCTTAATAACACACTTACTATGAGAATTGAAGCATCATCTTTGTAACAATTTTATCCATTCTAATAAGGAACAAACAAAATATGTACACCGTATTACATTTACTTTTTACTTTTGCTGTTGTAGCTTCTGTTAACCACAATTATTATGTCTTTTTTGTTAGACTTCTGGTGCTGCAGAAGACTCTTCATGTCCAATGGAGATAGAAAATATTGTCGAAAAAATGTTCATGTTTAAAGTTGAGGTGAAGAGTATCAACAATCAGAATAAAGATGAAGTCTTAAAAGTTGTTACGCCTACTGACGACGAGGAAATTATAAAGAAATACATTCCTTCACCACAAGAAGACAAATTCAAAGTATGTTTCTATACTCAATTTTTCTCAATTTTCCTATTTGTGATTGAATTACATTTTAATTATGATACACTTTTTTATAGGACCCAGATTTCAATAATAACGAAGTCAGTCATGAAGATAACGAAATCACGGTGATTTTACAACTCATTATAAATATTTTACATAATTTATTATTTTAATGTAATGATTTGCAGGTTATAAAATAATAATGCAACAAGAACTATAGATTAACTATTGATTTTCACAAGTTTTTCTGTTTTAAATATATAGGATTCGACTGAAGATAATGAGTTGATCGATGTTGCACATACACCTGCCAAGATAGGTATAAATAATCCTGCAACGATGGTTGAAGAAGATTCAAATGCACAGTTATCAGGAAATAAGATCAAGAGAGTATTTAAAAAGAAGAAGACAACATAAGTTGTTTGCATGTGTAACTGTTGGATTACTGGATAAACTAAGAACTGTCTGTTTAGTTAGTTTTATTAGTTATGAACAAGACGATTTGAATCATTTCATGTTTTTTTTCTGGTATTGAACTTTTCCAGTTTAGTTAGTTTGGTATTTTCATTTGTTATGGACAAGATATTTGAATTAGTTCATGGTTAGTTTATAAGGGGGAAAGAATAGACAATTTCTCTAATATTTCTCTTGCCCAATATGAGTTCTGCACAGTATGATACATCATCTAAATCTGCAGTAGCGTCCGAGGACGAATACTCTGAAACTCTCTCGTGTTGGTCCTTGGTTCCAAAAATGGGAAACCTCTGCATGTATCTTACTGGAACTTCACAATAAGGTTCAAAGTAACTACAAACAGGCGACGAAACAAAATAATTCATTTGAGGAAGCAGCAATCTTGTCAGTGGCATATGATGATGCAGAGTATCTTGAAGCAACATGATAATGGAATAGTTGTGAACATATCAGATAAGACAATTCCATGTTAAAAATCTCATACTAATTAATTGTAACCTTTTGAAAGTTTATATAGATTTGGTGGCTGGCCAAAATTAAGGAGACGTATTAATTATTCAACTTTATTTCAATACCTGTCCTTGAGATGTGTCCCTTTGGAGGCATCCATTAATTAATAAGAATATAAAGAGGCCTACAGAAAAGAATGACTTGTGAAATTTTCATTTACCAACAGTTATGTTTTTTCATCATTTTAAAAAGGAGAAAAACTAAAAAGTTGGAAAAAAGGAGAAGGGAGAAAATGAATAGTCACTTGAATGATTCCTACTATGACTCTACGTGTCTTCAATATTTTTTCCTAAATTTATAATTATTAATAAAGTTAACGTGATTGTCCTTTTGTTTACCTGGTGTAAAGAATTTTATTTTATATACTAACAGTGCAAACTCAAACTAATTTTTATACCCATTTATTCAACAAAGGCTACAGTTTACGGTTACATAGTAAGTTTTGCTTTCTCAACAAAATTCCATCTTCTTTGTAACTCCCACTTTGTATCTGTCATAACCACCAACTCACTTCATCTTCCTTCAAAATTCTTTCAAAAAGGTATTCTAAATCAAACTTCTCGGATCCTTTTCTATGGAAAATCAAAAGAGCCTACTTTCCCGACCAAGCATATACAACATACAGGATCATAAACGGCGCAAAAAACACTCGGTTACCAAAGGTATGTTCATTTTCTTATGTAGTGAAACAGACATTTGGGGATATAATCTGGCCTTCTATAGGAAGATCTACTGCAAAACATTAAAATAATATATTCTTATAAATTTACATTCTAAAAGGACTTGATCAAATGAAGTTTCTTGGAGAAGTTCAACAGTTCTTAAAAACAAAAACAACCCCGCAAAGTGTTCCAAATTGTAGAAGGGAATGGAACTATAATGTTTCGCTTATTTCCTGTCGATATTCAAGTAGTGAGACTAACTTTTAAGATAATTGATATATTCAAATTTCTTTTTCTATCATCTTCTAGCTTGTGTTATTTTTTAATTGCTATGCCTTTTAGCATCTTATGTTTCTCTGTCATTATAAATCTTCTAACAATCCTCTTTAGCGCCTTCAATTATGTGGTGCATTCTGTTTTGATGTGATATTAGATAAAAATAGTCTAGGGTGAAAGATGAGAACCATGTGGTTCAGAGTAAGAAAGGGATTAGAGTTAAAGGTTCAACAACAATAACTAAAAAGAAAATAAATTAGATAACTCTCATCATCAATGCAGAGGATGCTCATGCATATAGATAATGATCATGACATGAAAATAAATTTTCAATCTCAGTAGGTGACGCATCTGAAATTTATTTATATAAGAGGTTAGTTCAATTAAAAAATTAATTGCCAAAGGTTGAGGCACTTTTATCTTATACCATAATTACAAGCTTTGTGCCAAATGAACTGATATCATTATGTAAATGAAGAAAGGTAGAGGGGCAGGCTTATCATCTCCGAGTTTAAACAAATGCGGATTGACCTAAAGAGTTGGCTCTAAACAGATTTTTGGGTCAATAAATAACTCAATTGATGTCTCTGAAATTTAGTACATTAGGATTGAATCATACAATAGCTATTTCTAAAATTATGCTTATTATTTATTGTTTAGACAACATAATTGTTCCCCACTAAAAATATCATCATGGTTAATAAAAATAATTTTCTTTATTTCTTCTTGTGTTTGCTTATACATGTGTTAGCTAGCTTTATAGTTATATCACTTTGTAATTATAATTCTTACAACAATTAAGCAAATTGCTGCCTTTATTTTTTTGTGCTTATTAAAGATGAAAAACGCATTTTCAGTTTTTTTTGGGACAAATAGGATTCATAACAAAATGAGTCCATGCATTATGCGAATTAATCTTTGCTTTATATGTATTGTTATTTCTAAAATCTGACCAAAAATAACATACAAATCTCTTCTACAGATAAAGTTGAACCTTCCAAAAACAGAAAATATTCAGTCGAAAGTGAAGAAAGAGTTCCTTCTTTGTCTGATATAACAAATGGTGAGTGACAATATCATTGATTTAATGTATTTATACTTGTGTTATTGTAACTTACTTTACCATAATTTATTCTTATTACAATGTTTGGTTTAGTTGATTAATAGTTGTACAATTAATGATGCATATGTAACTCATTGTGTAGACATGAGAATACATCATCTTCTCCCTGATTTAAACAAAATTCCTATAACTATTAGCATCTGTTGTTTTTATTATATTATTGACTTTCCAAATTTATTATCTTCTGGTGCCTCCAATTTATGTAGTTCATTCTGTTTTAATGTGAGAGTGCATAAAATTAGTTTAGTCCAAAGGATGAGAAACATGTCGTTCTGAGGAAGAAAGGGGCAAGAGTTACAGGTTCAACTAGAACAACTAAAAGGGGGAAAAATTAGATACCTTATACTCTATTTGTTCTCTGTTTCATTGATCAGTAGGAAGGTTGTGCATATTATTGCCTCTTCTTTAAAACAAAATTTTATATACATAATAACATTCTGAAGTCTCCCCCTTTAAAATTCTGCATTTTATACTTTTATATTTTACTATAATTTATTCTTATTAGAATATTTGGTTAAGTATCTGTTATACAACTAAAACTTATTTTTGTAGACATGAGAATACATCATCTTCAGCCCTCCAACAATACAAACTATTCTGTCGAAAGTGAAGAAAGAGTTCCTCCTTTGTCCGATATAACAAATGGTGAGTGACAATATCATCTATTTAATATATTTATAGTTGTGTTGTTACAACTTACTTTACCATAATTTATTCTTAATACAATGTTTGGCTAAGTTGATTAATAGTTATACAACTAATGATGCATATGAAACTCATTGTGCAGACATGCAAAATAACATAGGATATGAAGATGATGAAGAGTATCCAGGTATGACAACCATACCTTTGCACTTTTCTGTTATTATTAAAGAACAATCTATATTGCCAAATATAGATGTATATATCTACGTACCATCCTATTAATTGATTTAACTACTATTTTTCTTAGAGGTGGATGTTGAATGTGGCCAAATTTACACTGAAGCTACTTATAAAAAACACCTTATTCACACAACACAGTTCGATAAAACAAATCAATAATCCTATGTCTTTCACTTTATATACTATTGCAAGTATAGATTACTGGGATATAGGAGATGCTACATATGAATGCGAAAAGTGCGGGGCTCTTTTTTGGTATGAAGAAAGAATCCGCAAGCATTACAACTCAAAAAAACCTATTTTTACACTGTGTTGTGATCGTGGAAAAATAAAGCTTCCAGATCTTAAGAAGCCTCCTGAAGTTTTGGAGCATCTTTTATTTGGATCAGGTTAGAGGAATTATAACTGTTAATATCAACATGTTCAAATCAACTTATATTCACATTTATCATTTTGCAATGGTTTTAATATAAGTGCTAAAAGTAGCCATTTTCGCGAAAATATTAGGAGTTATAACTCTATCTTCTCATTTACATCAATGGGGGGTAAGGTTGATGTCTCTATCAACCAGAAAAGAGGGCCAAGAACATTCAGATTATGTGGTCAAAACTATCATCAAATTGGGAGCTTACTACCTCCTGAAGGATCTACTCCAAAATTTGCACAATTATATATATATATATATGATACAGAGAATGAAGTTAGAAATAGAATCAATGTTATCAGGTTAGTCTTGTACCTTTATTATATAATACTATGAAAACAAAAATTAACTTAGAAACCTTTATTGATATCATATATATTTTTTTCAGTCGTGGCCAAGATATTAACAAACTTCATGCTGAAATTGTTTCAGATCTGAAACAAATGCTTGATGACAATAATGTTTTGGCAAAGACATTTAGGATGGTCAGAGATCGATTCCAAAAGAATGTAGACTCCAATGTTAAGCTCAGATTAATAGGGAAAAGAGGTACCGATGGTAGAAGATACAACTTACCAACAATACCAGAAGTAGTTGTTTTGGTGGTTGGTGATTTTGAAGTTTCTAGAAGTGACCGCGATATCATTATAGAAACACAATCTGGACAACTACAAAGGATAAATGAACTAAATGCTGCATATTTAGGTCTACAATATCCTTTGCTTTTTCCTTATGGTGAAGATGGGTACAGAGAGGACATTCCTTTAAGTCAAGGTGAAGAATCATCGAGAGGAAGGCAATGTGTTAGCATGCGAGAATTTTTCGCTTATAGAATTCAGGAAAGATAAGATGAAGTTCCCACCATTGTGTCTTCAGGAAGATTATTTCAGCAATTTTTAGTTAATGGTTATACAATGATAGAATCTTCTCGGTTGAAGTTTATAAGGACTCATCAAAAGCAATTAAGAGTTGATTCTTATAAAGTCCTAACAGATGCTATATTGCATGGTGACATCGATCCTTCATCCCAAGGTAAAAGGATAATTCTACCTTCAAGCTTTACAGGGGGTGCACGATATATGGTTCAGAATTATCAAGATGCTATGGCAATATGCAAATGGGCTGGGTACCCTGATCTTTTTATCACATTTACTTGCAATCCTAAGTGGCCAGAGATTACTAGATTTGTTGAGAGCAGGAACTTGAATCCTGAAGATCGTCCAGACATTTTAAGTAGGGTGTTCAAAATTAAATTGAACCGCTTAATCAAGGATTTGAGAGATAATCATATTTTTGGACAAGTAAAAGCAGGTATACAATATTTAAAATTTTATTTAAATAAATATGATGATTTTATATGATTCTTTCCTACGATTCAGATAATTATTTTTTCTAATAAACTTGCATAATTTCCAATGCAGTGATTTATACCATTGAGTTCCAAAAACGAGGGCTGCCTCATGCTCATATCTTACTTTTTCTTCATGAGCATAATAAATTTTCATCTGCGTCAGATATTGATCGAATAATTTCGACAGAAATACCAGATGAAGTGAGTGATCCTAATTATTACAATGCCGTAAAAAATTTAATGATGCATGGTCCATGTGGTTCTGCTAGGAAATCTTCTCCTTGCATGCAGAATGGTAGATGTACAAAGCACTTTCCTAAAAGGTTTGTTGACGCAACAACGGTTGATGAAGAAGGGTATCCTGTTTATAGAAGAAGGGATAATGGTAGAACAATTATGAAAAATGGTATTGATTTGGATAACAGATATGTGGTGCCACACAATCGCTTCTTATTATTAAAATATGGTACTCATATCAATGTGGAGTGGTGCAATCAAACAAGATCCATTAAATACTTATTTAAGTATGTCAATAAAGGTCATGATCGTGCATCTGATGCTTTTTCTCAAAGTACTCATGACAATGGTTCATCAACCGTTGATGAAATCAACATGTATTATGATTGTCGCTACATATCCCCATGTGAAGCTGCTTGGAGAATATTTAAATTCCCAATTCACCATAGAGAACCGTCAGTGGAAAGACTATCATTCCATCTTCCAAATGAGCAAAGTGTCATTTTCTCTGATGATGATCCAATTGATAATGTTGCCAATAAATCAACTGTAAAGGAATCGATGTTTTTAGGATGGTTTGAGGCAAACAAACTTTATTTGGAAGCTAGAAATTTGACTTACGCCGAATTCCCTCTTAAATTTTGGTGGAACCAAAATAAAAAAAATGGGAAAAGAGGATAAAATCTGTATTTTCTATTGGGAGGATTTTCTTTGTTACTCCAGGGAGTGGAGAGATATATTATCTTAGATTGTTGTTGAATCTAATCAAAGGTCCAACTTCGTATGAACAACTTAGAAGAATTAATAATCAGAGCTATCTTACTTTTAGAGATGCATGTTATGCACTTGGGTTGTTGGATGGCGACAAAGAGTATGTGGATGCTATAAAGGAAGCAAGTACTTGGGGAATGCCATCTTATCTAAGACAGTTATTTGTCATGCTGTTGTTATCAAATTCAATGTCACGACCAGAAATTGTTTGGCAATCATCATGGCAGTTATTGTCAGAAGATATTCTCCATGAAGAAAGAACATTATTGAGTAACCCAGGTATTAGAAGATAAAATTTTCAGATTAAAATAATTTTTTTACTGCTATATGGATTAAACGAGGAATAAATGTTGATATATGATAACTTCTATAATATTCTAGTTTGTTGAATATTATAGAATGATAGATGAAGACAACTCTCTATTTTTAACTTTTGATAAAGTCAATTTGATCATTTTATAATATCAATTTTTTCTCGCTACATTTTGTTCTTATATGTTCTAAACGACATCACAAATTGCAGCTTTCTCTTTTGTCTTATTTTTATACATGTAGTTAAAAGAACTAAAAATAGTACTCCAGATCCATGCTTAGATATGTTATTCTATAAATTAAACCAATGATCTGTATGCTCATACAAACAAACTACATATACATGAAACTACACGATTGAGTTTTAAGTATGACTATATATTTTATTTTGAACTCTAACATTTTTATGTCATGCAGAGGCAGAGCTAACCGATTATGAATTGAAAAATCATTGCTTGAAAAAGCTGGACAGGATTTTAAAAGGTTGTGGAAAAAGCTTTAACGATTTTTCGACAATGCCAAGACCATATTACAATGAGGAAGAATTCGATGGTGCCAACATACTAATTAATGAGGAATTGCGCTTTAATAGGCGTTCTATGACATAAGAACATCAACAATTATTAATGAAATTAACATTCGAGCAGAAGTCTGTTTATGATAAAATCATATCTGCAGTGAATGAAGATAAAGGAGGGTTATTCTTTTTATATGGTCATGGAGGAACTGGCAAAACTTTTATCTGGAAAACATTATCTTCTGGCATACGATCTAAAGGCGATATAGTGATAAATGTTGCTTCAAGTGGTATTGCTTCTCTTTTGTTACCAGGAGGTCGAACTGCTCATTCAATATTTGCGATCCCTCTAAATCCAACTGAAGATTCAACATGCAATATAAAACAAGGTAGTCCTTTGGCAAAGTTGATTGTGAAGGCAAAATTAATCATTTGGGATGAGGCACCAATGATGCATAAATATTGTTTTGAAGCTCTTGATCAAACTCTTAGAGATATTCTAAGATTTAAAGATCCATCAAATTTAGATCAGCCACTTGGAGGCAAAACAATTGTTCTTGGAGGTGATTTCAGACAAATCTTGCTTGTAATTACAAAAGGTAGCAGGTAAGAGATTGTTAAGGCAACTCTAAATTCTTCATATTTGTGGCCCCACTGTCATGTTTTAAAGCTAACAACAAATATGAGATTGCAAGGAAATATATCTGGTGGTGATTTGGATGATTTAAAACAGTTTTCTGATTGGATTTTGGCAATAGGTGATGGAAATATTGGATGTTCTATTGATGGCATTGAGAAAGTAGAAATACCCGATGATCTTCTCATACATAATTGTGATGATCCAATACTTGAAATTGTAGAAAGTACATATTCTGATTTCTTAACACATTTCACAGATATAAAATACCTTCAAGAAAGAGCAATTCTTGCGACAACTCTTCAGATGGTGGAGTCGGTGAATGATTACATGGTTTCTCTCAACAATAGTCAGGATAAGTCATATTTAAGTTCGGATACAATTTGCATGTCTGATCATGCATTTACATCTTTGGAACATGTACATACACCTGAATTCCTAAATAGTATTAAATGTTCAGGTATACCAAATCACTCTATCACTTTGAAGGTTGGTGTTCCTGTGATGTTGTTAAGAAATATAGACCAATCGTCAGGATTGTGCAATGGTACAAGATTGATCATCACAAGACTTGGAAATCGGGTAATTGAAGACAAAGTATTATCAGGAAAAATGGCTGGAGACAAAGTTTTTATACCAAGAATGACACTTACTCGATCTGATGCAAGAATTTCTTTTAAGTTTCACAAAAGGCAATTTCCCGTCATTGTATCTTTTGCCATGACCATCAATAAATGTCAAGGTCAGTCATTATGTAATGTGGGATTATTTTTGAAGAAGCCTGTGTTTACTCATGGACAACTATACGTTGTACTTTCAAGAGTAACAAGTAGAAAAGGGTTGAAGATTTTATGTTATGATGAAGATGGGAAAATAACAAATGAAGCTACAAATGTAGTGTATAAAGAAGTTTTCTGAAATTTAGAGGATAGAAGTTTTTAATAAGTATAAAATGAGAAGCATCAACAACAAGTTTAGTGTACATACTCGGTATATAGTTGGTCATACTATAGACAGACCTAAAGTTGGATGAGGTAAATATTCTTCTAAATTTAATTTACTTTGATATATCATGTTATAGCTTAACTTTTTTTTAGTCATATAAAATACTTTTATTTGTTAAATTATATATCTATATTTGCAGTCAATCACTTCAGTTAAATCGTGGAGTTGCAAGAATATGGATAACCACCATTATTTCACATTTATCGATTGCTACTAGGTATGCAATATTACTCGGAATGAATTTTATTAGAAAATATATAATAGGAGTAATGCTATCGTTTATCAATCACAGCTCCAAGCTGCTGGAGATCTGAATTTTTTTCAAATTTGGCATCAAATGGGGCACTGATTATTTCTTGAAATCCAGTTCCAACCGTAGTCGCTTCTACATTCATGTTAGTCCCAATAGTTTTCAAGAATATTGAGAATAAATTTTATTCTAAGTTTCTCCATAAACATATGTTTGTTAAATGTTAAACATTTAATTGTGCATTTTTTAAAGGTTGGGGATCCAATAAAAGATCATGAATGTTGGACAAAGCCAGAGAGCATGAAAACACTACAAATTGTACTACTGATAGATCAAAATAATCGTGGAACAAAGATTGTTGTTGAGAGGAACTGATGTTTGGTTGTCTTATAGAAGGTGGGTTTCACTGCTTATTTAAGAAGTATGAGTTCTGTTTTGATGTTATCCTACATGAGCATGTTACAAATGATCGAGTATCTTTTCATCTCATACATAAAAAATTTAGTTACAAATTCTATACAAAATTTAGTTACAATGACTGTTGCTTTAAACAAAGGTTGTGCAAAAATATTTCATAATTGATTTCAACTACCTTTTTTTTCCCTACAAGATGATTTACCACCTGTTAGTTCAATCTTGGTAATTTTTGTTCATAGGGAATGTTCTAATGAGTGCAGAGAAGCTGTCTCATTTTTGATTTTTGCACCAACAAGATTCGCCGACGTGTCAGAATTACGCCAACTAAGAAGTGTATTTATTCAGAGATTTGGAAATTCCCTTGAATGTTATGTCAGTAAAGAGGTACTCACTCATCTTTTCACTGTCATAATATTTGTGCTTAAACTTACAACTGGAACTTTACTTTTTTCCTTTAGCTTTAAAAAACATAACAAATTTCTTTCTTCACAGTTTGTTCAAAACTTAAATTCAAAAGCTACAAAGGAGATGAAGCTTTGGATGATGCAAGACATATCATCAGAATCTGGTATAGAATGTACTTTAGAGCAGAAGCTTTACAATCCACTTATAACAGAACAAGCAAGCCTTGCATAGAACCTCATAATCTCCTCTTTTCTTGCATCAAAGCCAACTTGAATTGCTCTTTAAAAGTAAATTTTACCAGTTAAGAATTGATAGTAGTTTCATTTTTTAACATTCTGCTATCCTTTCTGTTTGGAGTTTCCAGTTTTAAGAAATATATATTCTATTTCTCTTTGACTTGCCTATGCACATTTTAAATATATTTGCTTATGCCTACCCTTTATTTTATTTTTTTCAATACAAGATTTATTTACAATGACTGTTGTTTTATCGAAAGATGGTGCACAAAATTTTCATAGCTGATTTCGACTGCCTTTTTTCTTCTCTTCTCAATACAAGATCATTTACCACCTATTATTTTGCAACTTAATCATATATCCACTATTTGCAGGTTTATAGAACCACAATAGACAAAAGCTACATAATTTGCTTATGGCGATACAGGTAAGCTCCTCATCAACTCTCTATCTTTCGAATCCACCTCACCGAGCCTAAAGCCCTGTGGACTTTTTTACGAAGGCCTAACTTGACAGGACCGGACGGTCGATTCATAAGGGTTTGAGCATTGGTCGGATACCCTACTAGGTAAGGCAAGCGCTCACCGATTTCTTTAGTGATATAGAGATAGGTGTCTGTAGTGCCGCACCTACTGAATGAATTTACTTCATGCACACCTTAAAGCTATTTAATACCTAACTAAAGATATTTCATTTTTGATACTTTGATTACTTTCATACTCAGGCATGTGGCACTGCCCTTGGACTATGCATTGTACGTACCCTTGTGAGTTCAACTCTTTCCTGTTTCAAATAAATAAGTTTCAGGAATTTGAGACTTCGAATTTGCAAGAAAAAATATTTCAATTTGGATTTGGCTTGAAAAAGAGTTCAAGTTCTATCTTTACGATTTACTGTACTTCATGACGTCTTAATCCATTTACAAGCCAAAGGATGGCATAAACATCAACTCTCAAACCAAAATTCCACATTGTTCATCATTGCTAAGAAAGTTCCCCTTGGAATAGGCTTTAAGCATACAAGTGAAGAATATTGACCGTCTTGCCAGTTTTTAATGATGATATGCAGGTTAACAAAATTGGTGGGAGATCAAAGTTGTAAAGAAAAATAGACCAGGGAGAGTGATGCAACTATACCTTCAACTAAATTGTCCTGCAGAGTCACTGGACACCACTGTCAGTTCAGTTTTGAAGAACATAAATTGAGGGTAAGTAGAACTACGAAATGATGTATCTGTAGTGCCACACGTACGAAATGATGTATTTGTAGGAATACATGGAGCATAACCAAATCATCTTAGCATTAGTTATTCATTTTATCATATACATGTACGTGAGTTAGTTGCATTCTCTGCCAAAGAAATCATCTCTAATCCGGTATAATCTGGTATTACCCTCATATCATTCAAATTTCTAAGACACCTAGGCCCAGTATTTACACACATGTAACATTGTTGGTCTTCCAATTGTTGTAATAAGTCGCACTCACGTTGCTAGTCCGCAAGGCTCCTCCATTTCAGTCATCCGGTTTTGAATTCTATGTATTACATCTTCATCTACCATACCATTCTTCTAATGACTGAGTCTGGATATCTAAATTGCTTTCATTTAAAGGACACAATTTGGTGCACCTCTACGAGTGAAGTTGGCAGTTCAAATCTCACTCTGGACTGTTTATTTGCAATTCTATTAAACCAATTCATTTGCTTCATGTTTTTAGTATTCCAATTAGACGAAGGTGATGTAAATCTTATGTTATAGACTGAATTGCAAATTGCAGTCTTATATTGTCATTTAATCACGTTTTATACTTTTCACAAATTGCAGAGTATTTCTTGCAGACAAGTGCTATTCTTTCGACGTTAGTTGATATCGTTGATGAAGAAAGGATTGAAAAGACAATTGCAAAATGTTGGATGATTTACTGGAGATTCATCTTCTCCGGTAAATCACATCTATTCTTTAATATCAGATAGACTCCATATGCCACTAGCAGCTTTTGTGGTTACAAGATTCTGAGCAGACTATAACCTTCAATAGAGCAGACTATAATGAAGTAGTTCTTATCCAATTTAACCCCTGATATTTGAGGTACTTAAAAATTCTATTGATGGTAATTCAAGTAAGTTGGTTGAGTTATTTGATTGACTAATATAGAAGCATACTTAAAGTCCTTATGGATTAGTCGGAGTATTTATTTTGTCTCTCTTTAATTTTCTTTTTATTGTCAGGTAGCTTATTAACAAGAAGTGGCAAGCCGATGGATATATTAGCAAAGCTAAATGAGTTAGTTGGTTTTTCGCCTCATCAAGAAATTAAACTTTTTGAGGTTAATTTTTTTCCTCTTATTATTCTCTTGCTGCTAAGTTTTTAACTCAAGCCCTTTTTTTACAAGTCACTTGGGATTGGTAGTCCTTGGCAACAATAATATAGAGACAACCCGATAAAATTCATCTATTTGTTTTGTTGTCTAAATTTAATCTTCGATCGTTTTTTCTTTGAATCGATCCGCGCATCGCGTGGGTACGTATACTAGTTAAGTGTAATTGGGAGGAATTAATTATACTCCCCAATTCACAAGGGGATAAAAAATTAGTTATAATTACATCATGTAATTATAAGACAACTTTTCCAATCCCTTTTTTTTTCTTTCAATATTTTTTTTATCTTGGAAATAAAAAAGACATAAACTTTCTATTCCACTTCTTCCCAACGTTGTCTCTACAACTTCACTCCAGGTAAGATCTTTTTTGTTCTTTCCCTTTCTTATTGTATATTCTTAGTTTTTTGCTAGTTGATTTACTTGGTTCCTTAATTCCATCTTTGTATCTTTTCTGATTTAGGACATTAAAATAAAATTAGAGAACCTTAATATATTGGTATTTACTTTGAAGTGAGCTGCTTGGTCAGCTCTTGGATGATCAATGACAAATTTTTCTCTGCAATTATATATAAATTACCTATAAAATGACAAGAGAAAAGTATTTGAAGACAAAGTTAACACTGATAAATCATTGTGCTTTATCCATATTCAGCTGCACATATACTTAACATTTGCCTGACTTGATTAAGCATTTATGCAAATCTTATGAACATATAGCAGAATCATATAAAAAAAATGGAGAACATATCAAAGGTAATAATCTCTCATTTTTCTATTGGAATGAAAACAGCTCCTAGTGAATTCATCTTTCGGCATTAATAACTCTCAAACATGGGTAATTGCATTCATATCTTTTCTTCATATAAAACTAGAGTCATTGAATGTAAGTTATTTATTTTTCTAATTTAAAAATAGTGGTTATGTTATAAACTCACCCAAAAGACGTTTAATATAGGATGAAGAAGTTGCCAAATTATAATACTTTGGCTTTGATTTTTGGAGTCATTATCGCTAATGGTAGGAATGGATGTGAAATTAGTGATATGGAGGATTTTCAAAATGATTTTTATGATGACGAAATAACTGGTGAAAAAGTTACTACACCTGCTTCTGAAGATACACAACCTATTGACCATGACCATGTATCTCTTGATCAAAGCACAAACTTTACGAGTACTAAAAGAACTCAATCAACATGTCAAGACAAGAGAGCAGGAGAAGGACGTTTAGCTGAGCAACAAACTTTGGCATATCGTCCAAAAATAATTAGGAACTCTATTGGAAGTATCTTGGCTAAATCTATTGATAAATGGACAGCCATATGTGAAGAGCAAATAAGGCTACAATATGAACCAAAAATACTTCTGCGGAGAAATTAATGTCTTTGATAATAAAACTAGAATTAGATGATGCATGGAATATATAAGTTATTGATCTCCTTACAAATAAGAGAAATATTAAATTCTCTGTTGTTATAGCTCTCGTGCTTGGAAAGAAATGGGCGGTGAACAAATTTGGTTTATATGAGCGATGCCGTTAAGGTTGTATTTTTGTTATTCGAATGAAGTAATAAGCTAATATCTTATTTTCTTTTGGATTATGTTAACTATTTGTTTCAGATATAAGCACTTTCTAGCTTCTTCTTATGCTTTATATATGTCACACCTCAAAACTGAAGTGGAACGTGATGGCGCTCAACCTACTTACTCGTCGAGCAAGCTATATTCTATCTAACTGTAAGTGATGATAAGGTCATTAAAATAAAGCAAATATGAATAACTCTTATGTTATACCCATCTGAAAAATATAACTTATAGAAGTTTAGCTAAGTTTTATCCGAAAATCTAAACCCAATAATGACAAGTCATGAGCCTCTAAGGACTAAAACCGAGAACAATATTTTTGGGGCATTCCCTCAAATAATAAAAAAATATATATATAGTTGGAGGTCTGAAAATAGTCAACTGCCGCTGGAAAGAAATCAATGGAGTCTATCTACTGGATCCAAGAAATCTGAACACTAGTCACGAGTTTTGTCACCTACACAGTCAATACCTGTCACATTTCGTGGCAGATCCAAACAGGCTAAGTATCTCCAAGGGTACCCAGTAAGTATGTATAGGGTGTGCCGCGAACAGGAAGGCTTGGCTGGAAATTGCCTTACGCAAACGCGAGCTGGGTTTCACGAATGCATTGGCCACTAACTGCTACTCTTCGCGGATGCGGAGGTCCCTTCATACTATCATATCGTTTGTTCCCCATATGNCTTATTTCATGTTTATATCTTAGACGTATGCATAGGGGTGTTCGATAGGTAGAACTCGAGCACTCGTCACGCCCCATCGATTTGGGTCGTGACAAAAGTGGTATCAGAGCAGTTCCATCCTAGGGTTGTCTACAGACCGTGTCTAGTAGAGTCTTATTTATGAGTGTGTTGTACACCACACTTATAAATATGAGGCTACAAGACATATAGGATATTACCCTCCCTTCTAATCTTAGATCGTGCGATATGAGGATTCATTTTCCTAACGATATGTTATATTTTCAGTGATGCCCAAGAAGGATACAGCCGCCCAGAAGGGCAAGTCCGTGGCTGATGAGACTAAAAGTCGAGCGCCACGAGTTACCAGGGCTCGGGAAGAGTCGCATAGTGGAACTCCATCTCAGACTTTACATACCCTGCCCTCTCCAGAGGAGATCCGAGGGTCACCGACTCTAGGACCCGCTCTAGTACCCCCCAGCTCCTTAGCCAGATACACCAGGTCAGGTAATGAGAGATGCTATTCAGCTATTGACTCGATTAGTGTCCGCACAGGCTCGAGGCTAGGAGGTAGGTATTGGTAATGCAAATAGGGCCATTAGTGCGAGGGTTCGTGATTTCATTAATTTGGACCCTCAGATATTCACTAGAGCAGATCCAAACGAGGACCCTCAGGTATTTATCAATAGGATGCAGAGGACTTTGAGGGTAATGAAGGCCACTGCGACTGAGTCAGTTGAGCTAGCTTCCTATAGAATTCGGGATGTTGCAATTAATTGGTACGAGTCTTGGGAGTTGTCCAGAGGTGAGGATGCCCTTCCAATAGTATGGCAGGAGTTTATAGAGGCTTTTCTTCATCATTATTTGCCACCATAGCTTAGACCGACCAGAGTTGATAGGTTCTTGACCCTTCGGCAGGGTAATATGAGTGTTCAGGAGTACAACCTTCAGTTTGATTCTTTGGCTAGGTATGCTCCCACTATTGTAGCTAAAATGGAGGATTGGGCTCACCGGTTCGTGATGGGGTTGGAGCCGCACCTGCTTAATGACTGTATGTCGGTCTCACTTTATCTAGGCATTGATATTTCTCATATTCAGGCATACGCTCAGGGTGTAGAGGAGCGTAAGCAAAAGCAGAGGGCCGATCGTGAGCATGATAGGGGCAAGAGTAAGAGAGCGTGATCTTCAGGTCCTTCTGGTGAGTTTCGAGGTGGTCAGAGATAGCAGTACCCGAGGTATCTATCCCAGGCATCAGCTAGTGCACCCCCTCAGTTTGCCGGTAGGAGATTTGATCGTTCCACATATCCAGGGCCCAGTCAGAGTTCTAGGGCCTCTAATTCTCAGTATAGGGGTGAGTCAAGTCAGATGAGGCCACCCTTGCCACGATGTGCTCAGTGTGGTAAGCAGCATGCCAGTCAGTGCCTCATGGGGTTGGGTGTTTACTATACTTGTGGTTATCCAGGCCACGTTATGAGAGATTGTCCGACGAGAGGTGGTGCAGGTATAGTTCAGCCAACGGAATCTGTAGCTGGTTCGTCATCATCAGTATGCCCCCATGGGCAAGGTTCACAGTCACCAACCGGTCGTGGTAGAGGCAGAAGTGGAGCATCTAGCTCGAGCATCCTCAGAACTGCGTTTATGCATTAGCGGGTCGACAGGATCAGGAGTCGTCACCTTATGTTGTTACAGGTATATTATCAGTCTCCTTATATGATGTATATGCATTGATTGATCCAGGTTCCACCTTATCTTATATCACTCTTGCTAGCAAGTTTGGGATAGAACCCGAGTTGATAAACCTTTTGAGGTGTCTACACCTGCTGGAGATCCAGTGATAACTAGACGGGTATATAGAGATTGTATAGTAGTACTTCTTAGTTATTCTACAGTAGCAGACCTGATTGAGCTAGATATGGTAGAATTTGATGTTATAATGGGTATGGATTGGTTGGCTTCTTGTTATGCTAACGTTGATTGTAGATCAAAGATGGTTCGGTTTTAGTTTTCAGGGGATCCAGTTCTAGAGTGGAAAGGTAATACTGCATCACCGAGAGGTAAGTTTATTTCCTATCTCAAGGCAAGGAAGATGATCAGAAATGGATATATTTATCACTTAGTTCGGGTACAGGATGTGAAAGTAGAGTCACCGACCCTTCAATCTATCCTAGTGGTTAATGAGTTTCCTGATGTTTTTTCCGATGAGCTTCAAGGCCTTCCGCCAGAGCGGGAGATTGAGTTTGCTATTGACTCATTACCAGATACTCAGCCGATATCTATTCCTCCTTATAGAATGGCACCTGCAGAGCTGAAAGAGTTGAAAGAACAACTGAGAGATTTGCTTGAAAAAGGCTTTATCAGACCCAGTACATCACCGTGGGGAGCACCTAAGTTATTTGTGAGAAAGAAAGATGGTTCCTTGCAGAGGTGTATTGATTACAGACAGTTGAATAAGGCGACGATCAAGAATAAGTACCCGCTCTTGAGGATTGATGATTTATTTGATCAGTTGCAGGGTGCCATATGTTTCTCGAAGATAGATTTGAGGTCGACGTACCATCACGTAAGGGTTAGAGAGAAATATATTTCGAAGACAACATTCAGGACTAGATACGGGCACTTTGAGTTTCGTGCTATGTCATTCGGGTTGACCAATGCCCCAGCAGTATTCATGGACTTGATGAACCATGTCTTCAGATCCTTTCTAGTCTGTTCGTGATTGTATTTATAGATGATATTTTAGTTTATTCTCGTTCAAAGGCTGAGCATGTAGA